TCAGACCCCATGTTAAAGACTCTGCTACTTCCCAATATTGCCACACCAGTGATCAAGCCTTTAGGGGATTAAAGATCTAACCGATGGTGTGAGGAGTACAGCTTTCCATTTGGATGTGATGGATTTGCCTGTAATCCCAGCATTTCAGGGGGCTGAGGCAGGAGGATTCAAGTTTGAACCTAGGCATGGCAGTTTAGTGACTTAGCAAAACAAGATTAAATAAATGACTCAGGACATATATCTCACTGCAAAGTTCTTGATTCAATCCCCAGTACTGAAAAAGAAAATGTTGGAAGAACTGTATTCTGCAGTTTTGCATGGGAAGTGAAAGTTTTTTGGTTCCATGCCTTAGGCAAAACATGGATTTCTGCTTAGAAGGATTGGATTCCAGCAAGAGTCTTCTCTGAAGGAGGTCAAATTTAAAGAAAGTTTAGTTCTGCCTTTCTCCTCTCTCAAAGTTTCCTAAGTAGTCCCCTTCATTAGATCTCAGTTCCCACCTACCATTCTTATCACTGCCACATCTATGTTTTAAAATGCTTCTGTCTTGCCTCACCCAACTTAAAATACTTCCTTGACTCCCTGTTTTCTAGTATATGAAGTTTTAGTTGTCCAGCTGGTCATACAAGGACCATTATTTACCCTGGCAAGCTCTCTAACATACTAATCCAGAAAAATTGAAATATTCATAGTCCAGCTATGCTGCTCCTTGATGCTGTGATTTTTGTACACACTGGTCTTTTTGCTTGGCTTGCTCTGGCAAAGTCTTACTCATTTTCAAGCCCGGACCAGATACCATTTGCTAAAGGAACTACTGATAAAGAGCTAAACAAATATTTGTATTATCTATATGGCAGGTCCTATGCTAGAAGGTGGCCATATAAAACTGCCTAGAGCCTAGTCCAAATCATCTAGCATTAGTCAACTACTTTCATTTCTTATCTTCCTTTAGCCCTGGTGCTTGATGCATGCTTTTTACTTATATCATTCTTCATTTTCTTTCTTGTGGACTCAACAAACAATTTCTGTTCTTAGAAATGCAGAAGTATTGCATTATATCTTAAATTCGTAGGCACATGCCCAGTATTGACAAAACATACAGTATTTAGAGAGATTCATGGACATAGTTTCTATTAAAAGGTATAATTATGAGTGGTGAGATCACACCTTAACACTTTGCAATCAGGTCCTTGCTTAGCCAACTCACAAAAGCACAGCACAGATTGGGTAGTGATTGAAGGCATACACTCTGAGAACAAATTGGCACATGGCAGAGGGCAGCAGTTCATGGTGGCTGAAGGCAGCAAAACAGCAAGAACAAAAGGGAGGGGTAACAGCAACAATGGCTGCAGAAGGAAAGTCTTTCTGTCTCTTATGTTACACTCAGCGTATCCACCCCAGGCTGGGTGTAGCACTTATAATCCCAGCAGTACTCAGACCCATAATCCCAGCCTTGGACAATGAATCAATCACAAACTGTAGAACTGCACCTCAATGACTGCATGAGGCTTTGGGGGGACAAATACACACAAACCATAGCAGGCAGTTTCTACCTCCTATGGTTGTTGAGACTATCCATTCCAAAAAATGCTTAGAACATTGCCTAGCACATGTAACTGTTTAATAAATGGTAACTATTATTGTTACTTTGTATGAGAACGTCATGTCTCTCACTATCAGTAGGCCCAGCAACTTTAATATTTAGCAATGAAAGAACTGTTTGTTTTGCTGAGAAAAACATGTACCTTTACCTAATTGCTATTGAACCAACAGCACATGTCAGACAATGACTGGCCTGAGACAGCCCAGAGCTAGGAACTGAGTTTCTGTTTGCATAGAGATAAATGACATAGGTGTGTGTGGGGAACTGCATTCACACACACTGATTGAGTCAGACAGCTATAAATACAGGCTGAGCCATAGCGGGAGAAAGTCTATGGTGTAACAGCTTAGGGCTTCAGGTCTGGAATCACCTCATCTCATTGGGACAACATTTACTTGTCCCATGACCTTGTTATTTCTTTGTGTCTCTGTCTCCACCTGCACAAAATGAGACTGATAATAAAAGCTCCTAGTCTATGTTTTAAAAATAATTTTATTGAGAAACAAACAGCAATGAGACAGTTTCAAAACCAATTAGTAGCACAGTTTCAATAATTAATACATTGCATATTGTTGTCTTAGTGGTTATTCACTGTACAAGATGCAGACATGATATCCTGTCCAAAAACACTATTAGAACAAATCTTTCTATTCATTGAATTAAGAGAAAGTAGCTGTATATCTATCCTAACTATTTTTAATATACAGATACAAAATGGTTGTTCATTTGTATCCCCCTTTTTTGTTTAGTTTTGTCAGAGATAGGTATTCCATTGTCATTTAAATATTGTGGGTGCATGAAATTAGAAAAATATTCCAATATAGTCCAGTAGTCCATAATATTAGTGGGTTATCTGTAAGACTGGCAATGTCAGAAGTTGTTGACTTGAGCCTTTTACAGCTCAGCATATTAATATGGGTTTACTTTTTATACTTCCTTTTTATACTTTTCTGCTGGATGGTTAAGACCAAGATAAAGCAAGACCTATATAACAAGAAATGTAACTTTTGTATCTTCCAAGGTCAGTCAAATCCCCTGAGGATTTACCCTGAAACCCTGTACCACAGTTTGTAGATCCTTTGTCAGTGTCAGCCATGTGGATGAGTCATGGCCATTTAAGAGCTCCTATTTTAAACAGTTATTGTGGAAACTTAATGAGATAGCACATGCAAAACACTAAAAGCCTGACACTGACAAAAGATCTACAAACTGTGGTACAGGGTTTCAGGGTAAATCTGGAGGGGATTTGACTGACTTTGTGAGATACAAAATTTACATTTTTTGTTATATAGGTCTTGCTTTATCTATTAAGACAACAATATGCAATGTATTAATTATTGTAACTGTCCCACTGTTTTGAAACTGTCTCATTGCTACCTCTTTCTCAATAAAATTAATAAAAACACTGAAAACACTCCTTGATACAAAGTACATAGCAAATAATAAATTAAAAAGATGCACATAATGGACAGAATGCAGGAATAAAATTAGCTGCTATAAAAGTATTTGACTAAATGAGTAATTCCCAAGGGAAAATTTTATTATAATTACATGCACGGAATAATCTTTATTAAAGTCTTTTTTTATTTTTACAAAAGTTTCCAACTTATCCCCCTACTACCATTTATGTTGGGTTCAGAGCACCAGAATTTCCCAGCATGTGTTCCATGGAATATCTGCCCTAACACATATGTGAGGGGAAAAAAAGGCTTTTGTAGTTGCATAATTTTGGGGGGTGGTGCATGCCATATTCCTTTGGAGCCTCAAATGTAACTCCCTAGGGGCTTACTAAGTCTTGAAAAAAAGTTTGATTTAGTTTAATTCAGAATTTATCAAACGGATTTGATCTTAGAGTCCTTTTGCAAATATGCTACCTATTAAAATCCCTTGACTACTATTCCACAGAACAAGCACAGTGAAATGATTGCTTAGAAAAGTATCAAAATGGCTTGTATACTAAATCAAGGGCAGAAGGGTATGGGAGGAAAGTGATAAGGAGAGGGCTCATACTTTTTTAGACTGACATTGCTGAGGACAATTCACAAAGTCATTAGCCATAGAAACCCTCAAGGTCAGAGACATTCAAAGAAATATGACATCCCTGCAGTACATGCAAGGTCTCTGGAGAGCGTCCAGTGGGCTCCTCAGACTACTGCCTCCTTCTGCAGCTGAAGGGCTGGAGTCCCACCATGGAAGATCACTCGAAAGGCTCTCTCACATACTTTGTCATCTGCCTTTGGCCACACACTTCCTGAATTTACTTCCTATTTTCTGGAAGAGAAGATGCTACAAGAAAAACATTTAAAGTGAAATGGCCCGCTGGGGAAACCAGAGGTCAAATTCAGGTCTGGAAAGGAAGAAGGGCTGACTGAGAGACCTTACCCCAGGTACGGGACAAGCATTCTCCTCCAGGAGGAGCAGAGATAAAGGTTGCCAGCAATATTGGTGAAGAGAACTCATCATAGCAGGTTGGGGAAGGAAGGGTGCTTAGGAAAAATAATAGTGACCCTGAAGGTCCAAGACAGAATGAGAGCCTCTTGAACTATGTTTACTGCATCTTCAGACTTGTATTCTTGAAGGGAAAGATGTTGTCTGCAGCAGAGAGGATGTTTACTGTAGAAAAAGTCAATGAAAACTCCCTGATAAAAGATTTTGTATGTGTGTAGAACGGCTGCTATCTGTTTGCAGTGTCCAATGTGCATGCCATTTCCCAAGTTAACGTCCTTTCTTGGCTGTTCCCTGAAGGCAAGTGCGCCGGCCTCCTGTTACCCTTTTCTTCTACCTATAGAAGAGACTGGATTACATCCTGAGTGGCCTGGTGCAGAGACTTAGCCCTGGACAGGCCCAGACTTCCAGGGGCTGCTGAGTGGCAAGGAAGAATTGAGAAAAAGAAAATGAAATATTTACTAATATTAACAATACGTACCTACGGATGTTGGAGTGCTACATTTTTCTGTAATGAGCATCTATTAATTTTATAACTGTGGAGAGTTAAATGTGTACCTCTAGGTCACACTCTATTTTCTAGAAAGGTCAATGTGTAGAGAACCTGAACAGACATTGTATATTAGCTTCATTAGTGTGTTTTTTACGGAGGAAAAAAAGCATAGGCGAGGTACAGAAACACACCCTAGAAAGTAATATGCACGTAATTCTACACAACAGGAGAAAATTCCAAGGTGGAGACAGGGGCGAGAAGTCTGGGAAGAAAAGGATAACTTTCTGCTGCGGCGCGCGGGGCGAGGTGGGGCGGGGCGGAGCCAAGGGGGACACAGCTGGCAGCCCGCCCAGGCAGCGCAGTTGGCAGCCTCCCGGGGCAGCGGGGGCGGGGCAGGAAGCCGGGTGGCGTGGGGCGGGGGCGGGGGCGGGGGCGGGGGCGGAGCCTTTGCGAGCGCCACAGGTGCGGAGGGGCGGGGTGGCACCTGCCGGAGAGCAAGGCGACCCGGCTGCAGCGCTGAGCCTCGGGACGGGAAAACCCAGGTGCTCTCTGTGGATGTGCGTCCTGACGCGGCAGCTGATGCGAATGGGCACAATGCCCCGAGGCCCCTGAGCTGAAAGGGGCCAGACAGAGGCCGGCATGGGCCCCGAGCTGCCCGCGCCTTGGCTGCTACTCTTCACCTGGCTCCCTGCAGGTGAGCCGTGGAAAGATGGGACCCACCCGGGCCAGGGAAGCAGGAAGCCATTGTTGCCCGGCCTCGCCAAGCTGGCCACCGGCCGGGCAGTGGCGGCCCGGGCTGAGTTTCGCTGGCGCTGGGCACCAGCACCAGCAGATGCGGGGCCTGGGTCAAGTTTCTGCCTGTAGGAACTGGTTGTTTTTCACTTTTATAAACCTGGGCCCTTTCGAAACAGGTGCAAACAAGAAATCCAGAGCTTTGGCCTTCCCTCCCGTAGTCATTTCTTGGTCTCTAACATCAATAGAGCAAAAGCATTATTCGTGAAATTCCTATTTTTCCTTTTACCTTATACTTGCTTTTAGGTTCTAGAAATGGTGACAACCATTTTGGCCCTGTGCGGATTTATTTCCTTCCTGGGAGCTTCTGTCATGGTCAAAGGAAGGAAAGTCCAGCACAATTCGGAGTCAGTGTTACAGGTCTCCAGCCTGTGGCACGTTGTTAAGCGTGTTCAGTCACTTTTCTGCTTTCTTTGTATCCGCTGCCTCCTTCATTTCGTGTCTTGCACATTCTCTTCCCTTAGGGGCCCAGCCTCCCTGTCCCATCAGCTTCATCGTTTTAACCTCCACACTAACTCCTGTTACTTTCTTGTATGGTTGTGTGTGTGTGTGTGTGTGTGTGTGTGTGTGTGTGTGTTGGCCCATCTCTTGGAAGCAGAACAGAAGTGTGTATTGTGTGAGTGAAACCAGGCAGAAAAGGGCAGTCGAGTGGCACAATGTGAGGTACTTTCAACCTTTTCAAATTAGAGTGTAGGAGTGGTTTTGCAAACAAGAATTATAAGTTCCCTTGGAAGTTCCACCCTGTTTTATTTCATTTTACCTGTTTCTCTATCCTTTTATGAATAGCTGCACTCTTACCTTTAACCGGCCAGTGGATGCTCTGCTTGGAGTTTGCTTGCAAGTTTGAATCTTGAATGTTTCTTTAAGGAAAAAGATCTAACATGAAGATGAGGCAGAATTTTCTCGAGAGGACTGAGAATTGCTCAAGTAAAGCTGCATCGTGCTCAGATAGGATTCTACAGTAACTCAAGCTTATAAAATTTATTTTCAGTACAGAGGACCTATTAATTGTCAGAAGATACCAAGCCTAGATGTTGGATAGTCACAACACACTAGGAAATGGACTGAATGTCACCTAAATTTCAGTACCTCAAATTCCACCCCAGTAGCCACCATCTTACACCATGAAAGCACATTCAGAAAACTCTGTGGCTTTGTGCTGTCTTTTCACCTTTGCCTCACATGTTCATCTCAAATTCCACCACGGCTGCACATTTCTGAAGCTGTTTGAGCTGTGTTTTCAGAAAAATAGAGGACTGTTCCCACCTCTGTCCTGGGGTTACTCCATCTGTAGAATCAAGATTTCAGAGAGAGCAATTGTTTGGGTCAAAAGAATGAGAAAAGAAGCCTAACAAACAAAAATGCCATTAAGGTATAAACTCCAATCCTTAAACCACCAGCCTGTTTTAAAAAGCTGTTCTAACTTTTACAAAGAATGTTGAACACTAAAGCTTTTTCAAATAAGGTGATCATTACCAAAGATCCAAAGATTATGTTCTTACAGTAGGCAACTGACAGGGCCTTTAGAAAGCGTGGCTCTCAGTGTCTATGCACCAGGCGTACAGTGTCAGTAGCAAGGATAGTGGACTAGCATGGTTACACTGACTTTGTTCTTTGTCTGGAAGCCCTTGAATAGAAACCCACCTGTGTGACACGTTTTAGAACCAGAGTGTGCCAAAAGTGAAAAGTCTTAAGTGACCCATCACTTTCATTTCACAGATGAGAAGTTGAAAATTTGACTGTTTGACTCTAACACTTAGAGGAGAAAGTTGCTATTTTAGTGGATACTTGCCCTGAATATGTGCAGATGTGAATAAAACTGTGTTCGGCTATTTAATATGGTTTGGTATCAGAGATATTTAGGTAACTCTGGACAATATACTGTTCAAAGCTTTCAGTAAGTAGGGGTGATGGAGGTACATATATCATAAGGTTTTGTGAGGCTTAATTGAAATGGAAGTTTTAGCCAGGCATGGTGGTGCATGCCTGTTATCCCAGCACTTGGGAGGCTGAGACAGGAAGATTACTGTGAATTTAAGACGAGTGAGTTCAAGTGAGTTCAAGGCTGATCTAAACTACATGGTAAGACCCTGTCTCAAAAAAACAAAATAAAAGGAAGGTTTTAATGTACTTCATACAGTGCTTGCACAGTGAGGGGGAACTTCATAAATATTAGCCCTGGTGATGACGGTGGTCATGTTATAGATCCATGTAGGATTGTTTAAAGCTAACCTTAACTCCTCCTTTGACCATGGCTAAGAAATTGAACAGTGAGATGACTGCTGGTAAGCTTTCCATTATTGTACCAAGATACAACTTTAAAAGAGGACATTCATTTAGCTGTTTGAAGTTTTCAAGGAGGAAGAATTGAGAGGTAAAAGCAATGTAGAATTCACATGGAAGAAATTAGTTGGGCTAAGGCAGTGTACAGGCTGGAAGTAATGGTAGCTTTCACTAAAATGGTTGTGATAATGGATAGAGAAAGCCCCAACATATTTAGGAGATAAATAAACCCAATTCAATAATAAGTTATGTAGAAAGAGTGAGGAATTGATACCAAGGATGGGTCCTAGTGTTTGATCTTGCCCATTCACTAAAATGGGAAGAATGGGAGAGGCCTAGGTTTTTATGGAAGGATAATGACTTGGATTTGGGGCTTAAATTAGAATTTAAAACATCCAAGAGGAGCCAGCAGAGCCATTTGAGTACATATATCTGTCCAGATCCTTGCTCTACAGTAAAAAGATTTAATATATAAAATTCTAGTAGTTTTTGAGCATCCTTCTAAGATTTATTATCTATGATAGAAAGCATTTCATCTTGTTTATTTTGACTTCTACCAAGAGTATATGTTCCAAGAGTCCAGGCCCCCCCTTTCTTCTTTCTACTGTATCCCTATCTTCTGGACCAGTGGCTGGCTCAGAAGAGGTACTAAAAAAATGAATGAAAATGTGTGCATTCTGGTGGAGTCCAAATTTGCATGTGCTCTGAAATTAGTGTGTGGTGACATGAGTCACTAACCTGGGTCAATGACTTTGGGAAACCCCATGTATCTGCCTCTCAACAAGGTCTTGTCTTCTTGTGGTAATCAAAGGAATGTCATGTTCAAACCACCTGAGTAGCTATTTTTTTCACCTAAATTTTTCAGGTTGAAATTTTCCCCTTTTGGAAATATTTATGCTATGGCATGGGGCTGTCACTGTTTTGGGAAATATAAATTTCTTTTCTGAATTATCTATTGAAATGTAATGGTCTTATTCTCTTTGAGAATAAGCTTGCTCTGAGAAACATTCTCCTGGAATAAAAGTATACATATGGAAGAGAAACTGATATAAAAACACTCATTTCAGCAATTGACATCAGCTTTGTTTGTCATAGTGAAAAATCAGAAGCAATCTAAATATTCTTAGTTAGGAAAATGTATTTATCCACAGATAAACATGAATTTTCATGCAACCACTAAAATCTTAGATGTGCATGTGTTGGTAAAGAATATTTTATGTGTATGTCTGAAAATACAAAGTTGCAATACTTATGTACATGATATGATTAATATATAAAGATAGCAATAGAAAAGGGGTTGTACACCAAATGGCATGTTGTACATCAAATTATCAATAGAGGTTCCTCTAGATTCTAGAAATTAAAACGTATGGTAAACAAAAAGAAACTTTTTACTTTTACCTTCTTTATTTGAATTATTTTTTCTTATTTCATATTAACTTTTTGAAGGGGGAAATGTTTCTATACAAAATGGTTAAAATAAGTTTGTGAACATATCTTAAATTTGTGAATATTCCCAAAAGAGTTATATCCAAAGCATTTAGAAAACTTCTCTGAAAGTCAGGGTGGCAGAGTGGGAACAGTACAGACCATCGGATTTTAGACAGCTAAGCTTAATATATCTTTTCTAGTTACTGACTATATGGCCTTAAACAGATTAACCTCTAAGGATTTTTTTTCACTGTTGAAACTGAAAAATATTTACTTTATTTGTACAAAAATTAAATGAGATTATATGTAATAAGACACTCAGTGTACAAAAAAATACTAAGTGCTTGGTATACAGCACTATCCCCCTTAGGGTAGCAACACACTTAGTTCCCCTCCTCAACCTTGTACTCTTGAGTAGCACGTACCAGACCTCTGTTAAGCACACCATATCTGGCACAATTCCTCCCCCACTCATCCCACATCCCTTGTCCTCATTCCCCTCTTCCAATGCCTCTCTCCCTTCCTTCTAATCTGTTACTCATTGCCAGTCCACTTTCCCTTGGTTCTTCTCATATTTGCACTGCTATCTAAGGAAATGTAGCAGATACTGATGGCAAATATACTAGAGTAGATAACTTGCACAGACGTAAACTATGATACGATTCAAGCTGTGTACTTTTTGTTAACTTGCTGAGTGGAGTCAGGGTGCCTATAAATTTAAAAAGCATGCAGAAATTGTGAATTCCCTTCATTGTCAGCACCAGCCCATCACCACCTCCAGGGAAGAAACCATGTTGTGTCCCTATGTTAGTCAGCTCTACATGATGGTAACAAACACCCAAATTAATTTCTATTAATTTAGAAAAAGGAAAGCCTTATCTTGGCTCACAGTTTTAGAGAATGCAGTCCATGGTTGGTTGGGCCAATTGCTTTGGGGACTGTAGTGGCAGGCAAGCATGGTAGAAAAAGGCATCTTCCCAAGGGTGGCTTGGAAGTAAAGACAGAGAGTAGGAAACCAGTATTCCACAGTGCCCTTTGCTCTCACACCCCCTGATGCCTGAAGCCACCTCTCAATAGTATCCTTTGCTGAGTACCGAGCCTTTACCCATGGTCTTTTAGGAGTGCCCATGTCCAATATACAGCACACCCTCTTTCATTAAGAACACTTTCTAGTCCACCCAAAATAGT